GCCTCCGCCTCCGCCTCCGCCTCCTCCTCCAACGTCAACCTCGTTCGCAACGAGCCCTCGATCGCCTCCCTCTCCTCCCGCTACGGTTCCAACGCAGCCAACCTCAACCCTATGCGCCCGCCCGCATGGCTCGACAACAACCACAGCCGCTCCTTGGCTTCCTCTGTATCGCCCTCCTCCACCTCCCTCCGCTCCCACTACCACCAACCTCCCGCTTCCATCCCCACTCCGTGGCAGAACCCGCTCAACTCACGCATCGACTCTCTCCCCGCCGCCATCAGCCTCGAGGACGAGCTCGAGTCGGAGCATCGCGATGCCAAGAAGGAAGCGCGCAAGCGCATCAAGGGCGTCCGCCACCACCTCGCAAAGGCTTCCGACCGCCAGCGAGGCACAGACGACACCGGCGACCCCTCCTTGTCCTCCCAAAGCCACTCCATCCAGCAAGAGGTCGAACTATCCCTCGACATGAACTTTGATCAGCTCGAAGACTTTGTCGACACAAACGCCGCGCGCCAGAGACTCCAGGGCTCCTCCGTCACCGATGCCGCCTCCACCTCCACCACCAGCCCCTCGGATCATCGCTCGCCATCCGCCAGCGAGTCCGGCCTCCCGCACCACTCGCACTCGCCCTCGCCCTCCGACCACGCCTCGCCCTCCAACCGCCACACCTCGCTCTCCACCAACACCGACTCCTCCTCCCATCTCTCCGACGCTTCCGCCTCCCAACGCGCTTTCAGCGCCCGCAACACCGCCAGCATCTCCACATCATCCTCCACATCCACCATCCTCAGCGACAGACGCCCCAGCCAGCTCAACATGCCGCCCCGCAACAGCGTCCCCCGCGTCAGCCTCGCAGAGATGCAAAACTACCAGTCACTGCGCAAACTATCGAGCAACCTCAGAGACATGCCGCCCAGCGCCTCCTACAGCCCTTCCGCCTCCAGCTTGCCTGTGCGTCGCGATTCCATGGCCGCCGCCCTCGCCACCTCCGACTCGGCGCTGCCGGCCACACCACCGCCGCTGCCGCCGCTGCTGCCGCCATCGCTGCCATCAGCTGCCGATTCCGCCCTCGCAGACCAGCGCAAGGACAGCGTCGTATCGGCTCACAGCCTTCGCTCCGACCACAGCGGCATCTCTCCCAAAACATCCTACGCCAACCTCAGCGTCACCGCACACGAGCGTCACAAAGCAGCAGCAGCAGCAGCAGCAGCAGTCGCAGCAG